AGAAGTACCACAAAAACAAGCTATTTTTTATACAACGTGCAGCAACAACGGTGACTTTAATTTAACACACATATACGTTTTCACATTTTCGTTTCATGAAAAAATTATATTTCCATTAAACGTTATTATTCACGGATTAATTTAAAATTTTAGAAAATAGCATCTTAGAGCAGCCTGTACTTAGAGAAATGTCGCGCAGCAGTCATTTGCCGGGGTCACGGATCATAACATCGGATCATAACATCGCATCATTGAAATTAAACGAATAAGCAATACTATTGAAGGAAAGAGACATCCCGTTGTCGGCGAGCGGGCGTCGCAGGCGACCCCGCACCCCGCTGCACCGAAATCGAATTCTTTTTTTTTTTTTTACTTTTCTAGTGTTTCACAATAGTGCGCATATTTACGTCGACTAATATTTTTGTGAACTTTTCCGCGAAAAACACGCTTACCTATCGTTTTATTTAATAATTTTTGTGTAATTAGGATAGTAATTAGATTATGGTACTGCGATAAAGACGCTTTGTTTTATTTTCTTTTTCTAACCTACTAGGTACGTTTACATCTCGTGAAATAATAACGCTTAGTGCTTGTGTTAACTTGTGATCGTAATGACAATACACATCCGAACTATACGGCAGCTGAATATGCGGACATGTTCCTAATTTACGGAGAATGTCGTCAAAACGCCGCCCTTGATAAGGACATATCGCGAGAGAATGGCGATTCAAGACAACGCCCTACTCATCCTCGCACTGTTGTAGGAGCTCTTCAGCGCATCAGCAAAACCGGCCAGTGGATCCTAGGTTTCAACGCCCTGATCGACCGCCTACGCGACAAAATCCAATCCAGTTAACTAAAAATGTGATACAATATTTCGAAGACCAACCCAAAACTAGCCTCCGCCAGAGCACTAGGCATTTTCAAGTTCATCACAGAACCGTCCATAGAATATTAAAGCGCGAAAAGTGGCACCCATTCAAATTTAGAGAAGTACATACTCTGCTATCGCGTAATAAATTAATAAGAGTGAATTATTGTCAGTGGTTACTGAGTAAAATTGAAGAGGACAGTGACTTTATTTCCCAAATTTGTTGGACATGCGAAAGCACGTTCACCAGAAACGGCATGTGGAATAAGCACAATCAGCACCATTGGGCACACAAAAACCAAAATCCGCGCGTTTGGCGGGAGTCAGCCCATCAGTACAGATTTTCGATAAATGTTTGGGCACCTATTCACGGTGACAACATCATCGGACCTGTATTCATTGATGGGGCTTTGAATGGAGAAAGGCTTGTTAATCTACTAAATTATACGGTGTCAGAATACACAAACAACCTAAACGTCCATCGATACTAACGAATGTGGTACCAATTAGATGGCGCGCCAGCACACTCTGTAACAACAGCCAGGCAGTGGCTAAATGACACGTTTGGTGCAAAATAGTTTGGTAGATTTGGACCTCGTAGGTGTCCAGCAAGATCGCCAGACTTAACGTCACTCGATTTTTTTTCTGGGGTGCATCAAAGACAATGTGTACGCGGAGAACGTGGATTCGGTAGAACAATTACGCCATCGAATAATAATACGTTTGAGAAATTGAGGGAAATGTCTATGTGACAATTTATTTTCAAATGTGCGGGAAAACATGAAACACCGTTTAGTTCTTTGTATCCGCCAACACGGTGGTCTCATTGAAAATAAAAAAAATTAAAATAAAGACAAATAAAAGCAGTGATTAGTGATGACAGTTAAAACTAATAGTAACAAGAGATGGTGATATGATAAGTGTTTGACTAAGCACCTCCGCTGTAGGTACTCTCCGGCACCGCTCGGTTTCTTTGATAATAAGCCGTCAAAGAATCGGACCGATCACGAGTAGGGACAAGACGCGTTGCGCGGTTGCCAGCGCGCGAAGCAACGCGTTGCCGCTCCGAGTTAACGTAAGCCAGCTAGGTAAGTAATTTCATGAATGAATTTTTGCAACGGTGTTCAAAATATTAGTGACTTTTTTATTAATAGGTTAATTTGAAAAAAAAAATTTCAATTTACGAGTTATTTTAACCTATTGTACACGCCCCTAGCTGCCCCAACAATGCTTGACGAGACTAGGGCCCATGAGTAATCCCATCGACGGGCAGCAGAGGGACGGGGCCCAAAATGCCTATGGACAATTGACCTATCATACTACACAATAGAGATAAGGCTAGGTAAATAAATAGTACGTACCTGGTTCCGAAGCTAAGATCGCCCCAAGGCTCGGTCAGGCCGTAGGTAGGTGTAGGTGCATGTAAGTGGTGTGTCGTAGTGTTTATATATGTGACCTGAACCAACTGAGGTGATCGGGCAGCGGCCTGGTCCCATGCTGCCCCACAATGCTGCATCACTCCAGCAGGCGTCACCAAATGACAACTTCTTTCTTCCTTTCACTATTTCAGTCTATCAACTTTATTGTACATTTAACTAACTTCAAACTCAACTATTTCAACGTTCATTGTAAAATCAAACACGTGACACCCGACACAAGTAACGGCCAGTAGTTCAAAGTTCAATATTCAATGTTCCGGATTCATTTATCACCAAATTACAAATAGGGAACTAACGCGATCTCTTCACGAGTGACAAAGTTCAGCGTTACAAACAACAACTAAATTCCTTCGTACGATATTAAATACTACGCCGCAATAAGAATTCAAAATCAACCTAGCTGACACGCAAACTAACTACAGAGTCAACACACAAAAGGCTCTTAACGCGACGGTACAATTAAACAATGACTTCCAAAAACAATTAACCGGGCCACGCCCTCGAAATGGAATGCGAGCTTCAAATTCCAGACCGTATCTCTACTCGGCGTGCGCGCAAGGTTCCACGTCACACAAGCATGTTAACTATTGCAAAATGCACTTCAACACGCAAGCACTATACAATTGACGCAATTACTTTCAAACAAAATTACTTTAATCAATCAAATTCAATACAAGCCTCTTGTCACGAACGTACAACTTAGACAAACTAATTCGAGGCAGTCTTCACGAAACCCCCAAATTCAATAGCGAATTAAACGCGCACAAATATTAAAAACCTAGACCACAAAAACCAAAACTGGTCGCGCGAAAAACCGCTGCAGCGGTCACCACAAAATACGTTAATCGACCGCGCCGCTGCTCTCAAGCTACTGACCTCGCACTCACGAGGCTGAATGCGGGGAAGTGGCATACCGCTGCCCCCCCCTCCCCCCCGGCGTCGCGCACTTCACCTCACACCATCGGCCGATGCGCCCAGTCACGCGATTGGATGGCGTTTCAATTGCCCATGTTTGGGCCTAAACACCTATCAAAATTAATATGATTAATGGGCACTAGCCCTTCCCGTGTGTTAAATTAAAGTTACCAAGTTAACATACATGATTGTAAGCTGTTATATATTTTTTAAAGTCCTGCTGCTTTCTTGCTGATTTTTCCCAGGACAGAGGTTTTTTTTCGAACCAATGGTAATTAGACAAAAGAGTGACTTTCAGTAAATATTATTTATAATCTATATTGAATAAAAAGTTTCCGTTTCTGTTTCTGCCTATAGACAAATTCTCTCTTTTCACTTCTATCTTCGATTAAGAATCAAAATGTAGATGTGTTGTCACCCCTGACATACCAAGATGGAATGTCTAGTTACAAGTAAAAAGTGTTCCGATTTCCTACACTCACCATCCGAAACTCAGCGGCAATAAACTGCTATTTTACGTTGGTAATCTGTGAGAGCGTGGTACCTCCCAGATCGAGCCAGCCCAATAGTGATGCAGTTATAAAATAGCTATAGCGTGGCTCTAACACTTAGAAAACAAAGTTGGTTTTGAAACAAATGTATAAAATAATAAATTATTATTTACCTGATCGCGTTCCCGTTCGCGTTCGCGCTCTTTTTCTTTCTCTCTTGTTTCACGCTCCTTCTCCTTTTCCCTTTCTCTCTCCCTGTCTTTCTCCTTATTACTGCTACTATCTTTATTACTTTTTACACTTTCTTTTGTACTTTCTACATCCGTAACTATTTGTTCTTTTGCTGCAAAATTTTATATAATTAGTCAACTAAAAGCTCTGAATCCAAGTTTTAATTTACGGTGAAATTGTCTTTGGTAAAATATACAGTAAAATTATTTTCTACGTGCAGTTGGGGTCATAAGTCACAGTTCGGCCTCAGCCCCGCTAGGGCGGTGAGCATGTTGCGCGGGCGCAACGCAATTATCGATAACAACAAATTTAATTTTAGATATAAGTTATTATCTTTATATTTATATTTATTTTTAATATAACTTTTTACATTCCAAACATTTGTACTTATAGTTTTTTTAATACATAGATACCTAATTATTAATTTATTTTAAATCATTATTATTCTTATTTCAATAAATATGTTGTTTTATCTATTTTTTTTTTTCATTTTTATTACTAACCCACATAATGACAAAACTAAATACACTATCGATAACGCTTATCGACAACAATAATGCGCATCACTATGCTCGCCCCTAAGGCCCGTGAATGGGAGAGAGAGCGAAATACTCCGATGATTAATGGCCCAAACTGCACGCACAAAATAATTCTAGTATAGTACTGTCCTTCAATTGAGGGATATGGAAAATGTAAATAATCCTAAGACAAGTAACAATAAAAAAATTCACAGGAGTATATTTGAAAGCAATTGCCTGTAAAAAAAAAACGACAATTTTTTTTTAAGACAATCTCCTATATGCACTACGAATTTCTCTTATATTGTGCATGCGTTTTGCAAACAAGGCATTATATCTTAGTCAGTGTAGATGCCTGTGGGCATTCTATAAAAAAAAGAGACCTCCCTAGCACTTAACGAGCTAAAAGGAACACTTTTTCGTAACATCATAATTAACATATGAAGACTTACTTTGTTCTGTACTCTTATAACTATCACTGCTTTCTTTCTCCTTATCCTTATCTCTATTTTTATGTCTTCTCTTTTCTTCTTTTAATGTACTAGCCTCTTTCTTATCATACTTTGAAGACTTGGCACTACCTAAAATTAAAGAAATTAGATTTGTAAAATACAAAACTAAAAAATATAAAATCAATCCTTTGCATTATTTATTATTATTTTATGTGCCACTACTTATTAGCTCGGGGACTATGCGCACGCCGTAAATTTTACAGTATGCGAGCAACACGAGTTCGATCCCCACCAGCAACAAAAAATATTTTAATACAAGAAGTGCTAATTTACCACAACTTCGGCGGTGAAGGGAAACGTCGTAACAAAACCTCCATTACTGTCAATATGCAAAGAGCTTGTCCATTACTGTCAATATGCAACACGGCCAAGTAATTGCTCTATAAGGGTTGCAGAAATAGTAGGAGGTAGTGACACACAGGCTGTAACTTTATTTTGTCAGTTATTTTAAGTGCGATGAAAAAGCTATATTTGTTTGTGTTCTTAAATAACAAATATCGAGAATAATATACAAATTGAAAAATCGGAACCCAGATCTGACTTCAGAAGTAATTTTATTTAAGCTAATTATTTTCAAAGACATAAGAGATCTCATTTTTTGCCATAAAAGCAAAGGTATAGTAAAGTTAATTAGCGATGTGTCAACTCGGTTTACCAAATCGGTTCAAATCGGTTTGACGATTGAACGAGTCAAATCGATTCAAAGATTGAGTTAAACCTGTTTGATCGCGCCGCCGCACCGATGTGCGTCGTCGGGTCGAACTACTCACTACAAAGTGAATGGCGAGCGAGATTTTACGTGGTAGAGCCATGCTGCAACTATATTAGTAGTATAGTTGTAGCACGAATGGGTCGGCTCGACCGGGGAAGCACCACGCTCTCACAGAATTCCAGCGTAAAAGACAGCTTGACACTGCTGTTTCGTATAGTGAGTGTAGAAAACCGGAGATCCATTTTACTGGAAAAGAGGTATACCATCTAAGTCCTCACGAGTGACGACGCATCTGCATTTTGATTCTTTATTAAGGATAAATGTAGATGTCTATGGGTCACAGCAACCACTTACCATCAGGTGGAATGTGTGCTCGTTTGTCACCCTATCCTATAAAAAAAAAAGAAAGATAGCAGTTTGCGCGCGCTCTGAACGAATTGCAATTTGCAAATATAAATGAATGAACCGAGTTACCGAGCTAATACTCCTATATTCTAGGATTTTTTTCTATAAGAGGATTCTTATTCTAAGAACAATCCTAACATTTCATTAATACGTTTCAATAAACGTGCTTTTCATTTTAAACAAAAGAACTGTTGTTTTTTTTTGGTCACTTATCCTATTACCTATTTTGTGACTTTGTAATCCATGAAAAACTGTATTATATTTAATTTAATTACAACAAACAAGCCATTCGAATTTTGATTTAAATTGCATCAGTCAATTCGATTTAGCTACGTTTTTTTTTTGTATGCTGTTATACGATATGGACGGAAATCGGTTTGAATCGGTTTCAAATTTTGCTAAAATCGGTTGCAATTTTTTTTTTTTCAAATTGTTTATTAATTGTTATAAGCAACTTGCTTGCATGATGATTACTATTTATACTAATTTAATAACAACAAATCTTAATATATTATACACTCTTGTTTTAATGTTAACAGAACATACAGATTACAGTTTTTTTATTTATTTAATAAAGCTACTGTACAAAAGCAGTGGTAGCGGAGGGGCTAAGCGCTCAATGTAAATTCACAGGTTGGATGTCCATCAGCACCAATTAAAACAGTTATGTGAAGTTAGCTAACACACACTGGGGTAGTGCGGTGGACATTTACTTGTCCAAAACCCTCTCAGAAATTAGAGCCTGTATCCAGCAGTACGAGCATGCGGCTCACCTGATCGTAAGTGACTACCGCCGCCCATGAGCAACTGCAATACCAGGGGTCTTGCAGATGCGCCGCAGGCCTTTTAAAAAGGAGTAAAGCTCATTTCTTGAAGGTCCTCTAAGCCACGTATCTATTATGCACTCCAAGAGGTCGAACATTGGCGCGCGTTCCAGCCGCGTGAAATGGATACTGCCTTGGAACGCGAGGCAAATTGTTCGTCGCATATCAAAGTAATTCAGTTTTGGCGCACGCGCTGGTCGGAACGGTTGTTTGCATCATTCGTGTTAGTTACAATTCAGAGTTATGGATAACCAATGTTGCCTTAAATTGATACAATTATATGATTCAAAATAACTGATGTGGAATAGCTTTTGTTAAAAGTAGTTTTTGTTATAATAAAGCGCTCCGAGACGATATATGGAGGCGAGCGCGCCAGGAGGGCTTAGTTCATATACTTCGAACATTTGGAACGCGTTCCGCGGATCGTACTGGTCGGCGTGGTCATTCATCGCTCGCGCGCCAGAAGGACTTAGTTCATATACTTCGAACATTTGGAACGCGTTCCGCGGATCGTACTGGTCAGAGCGGTTATTCATCGCTCGCGCGCCGGGAGGGCTTAGTTCATATACTTCGACAATTTGGAACGCGTTCCGCGGATCGTACTGGTCAGCGCGATCATTCATCGCTCGCGCGCCAGGAGGGCTTAGTTCATATACTTCGAACATTTGGAACGCGTTCCGCGGATCGTACTGGTCAGCGCGGTCATTCATCGCTCGCGCGCCGGGAGGGCTTAGTTCATATACTTCGAACATTTGGAACGCGTTCCGCGGATCGTACTGGTCAGCGCGGTCATTCATCGCTCGCGCGCCAGGAGGGCTTAGTTCATATACTTCGAACATTTGGAACGCGTTCCGCGGATCGTACTGGTCAGCGCGGTCATTCATCGCTCGCGCGCCAGGAGGACTTAGTTCATATACTTCGAACATTTGGAACGCGTTCCGCGGATCGTACTGGTCGGCGCGGTCATTCATTGCTCGTGCGCCAGGAGGACTTAGTTCATATACTGCGAACATTTGCAACGCGTTCCGCGGATCGTACTGGTCGGCGCGTTCATTCATCGCTCGCGCGTCAGGAGGACTTAGTTCATATACTTCAACATTTGGAACGCGTTCCGCGGAACGCACTGGTCGGCGCGGTCATTCATCGCTCGCGTGCCAGGAACGCTTAGTTGATATACTTCGAACATTTGGAACGCGTTTCGCGGAACGCACTGGTCGGCGTGGTCATTCGCCAGGAGCGCGTAATCGATACGCGGCTTAAATCGTATCAGTCTGGAAGAATCACCGGCATTACGACTCACCTTTATTTGGGTCGTGTCGTTCTTCTTCTTGCGGCGCACCGGCTCCGCCCGCAGAGCCGTTGGTGTGCGCGTGCGTGTGTGCGTGCGCGTGCGTGTGCGTGTGCACAGGCGTCTGTGTGTGCGGCTGTGACTGCGGCTGCGACGCCTTTTCGCGTTCCCGCACCGCACTCTGTTGTGCTAAATGCTTCTCTAGCTTATCTAACTGTAAATAAAAAAGTATTATTTTAACGTACAAAACTCTCATGGAAATGCAGTCAAATATACAAACATCAAGTTTTGAAGGTTATTAATCTCTGTATGTAGGCAGGGCCAGAATGAATGGATTATAATAGAAACTGTAGCCTTGAGAGAAGTCTAGACATTCACTAATAATTAAAATATCAGCGTTATTCGCTCAATCCACCGCCATTTTCTTTCTGTACGCTCTACGTCGATATTAACCTTAATTTATATAAAGTTACGATGTATGGTGGTGTACCTCAACCTGCAGCTGTGCGTGGTCGGGCCCATAGTGCCCGTTCTCGAGCACTCAGCGCCGCCGATGGGGCTACCGTATACGCTCTAAATCTAACAGACGATTTTAATTTTAACATATATAGAGATATGGTACATAATGGCGTACCTTAAATTGTAGCTGTGCGTGGTCGGGCTCGCAGTGGCCGTTCTCGCGCACGCAGCGGCGCCGCAGCGAGCCGTTGAGCTGTCGCGTGTCGGCCGCACACTCGGCGCTCTCGTTCGCGACTGTACGCTCCTCTTTTAAACCCTGCTGGTTTTCCTGCAATGAAAGGTGGTTCCATAGATATAGACCACTGTTAAACGAGAACCTACATCAGAATACTAACTAATAACTATATAACATTAGAACTACATCAGAATACTGTGCTGGTCAAACAAGTACATAAAAGGGAATGAACGATTTTTTTTAAATATGCACTAGAGCTAGACAGACAAGCAGACGTTCTTTTGTACAATTGCTATATACCTAGTCAGGTCATAAATTCTGTCACATGTTTAATATAAAATAATTGAAACAAGTTTATTCATTATGTAACCATTTATATACCAAAATGAACTTAACAAAACATAGATTCTTATGACACTAAAGTTTATTCAAAATGACCTCCGTGATTTTGAATACAGGCCTTCAATCTGCGCGGCCAGTCGTCTATCGCAGCACGAACGGGGTCATCATTCAAATCTGGACTGGAGGAGGGCCAGTCTTTGTGCCGGATGAAGTCGATTTCACGCGCCGCCAGCCAGTCTTGTGTGCTCTTCGCTCTATGAGCTGACGCCGAATCTTGTTGGAATACCCAGTGCCTGTTATTGAACATGGTATGAGAAACAGGTTCCACAAGGTTCGTCAGGACTGTATTTTGATACACAACTGCATTCGTTTTTACACCTTTCTCACAAAAATGTACCTCTGTTAAGCCCCAATAAGAAACTCCCAACCATACCATGAGCGAGGATGGAAAATGACCTCGTTGGACACGCGGAATACGGTTGCTCGCTTCTTCACTACTGTGTGCGTACACCTTACCATTTTTTTTGTTGTAGCTCTCTTCTACGGTAAAAATTTTCATCCGAAAAAAGAATATCCCGATATTTTTTCCCGCATACCGCTTCAACAAAGCGCGGCATCTCTTCAGTCTCAGGTCTATTAGACGAGCATTCAAACGATGTCCTGTTTTTCTTCGATATGCCCGAAGCCCTAAGTCTTCATTTAACACCCTTTTCACCGTGGTTCTACTTAACGCCATGTGAAGGGCCAACAGTTTCTGCTTACGTTTGGGATTTCTTTGAATTCGCGCCTTCACAGCTTTTATCACTGGTGGAGTCCTAACAGACCGAGGGCGACCACTTCTTGACCTGTCATCTACACTAGAGTCTTCATTGTATCGTTTGAAGGTACGATAAACGAATCTTTTGGTTATATTCAAATTTTTCAGTATGTCAAAAATTTGAATTGGCGCGTAACCGCAACGATACAACGCAATAACTGCAACACGGTCTCCTTTAAGCGTCCACTCTATATTAAAAAATGTGTAAAATTCTAAAAAGTATACAGTTTTATTTTCATGAACAATTCGAAATTCGAATTCAATAAACTTTTTTGTGGCCAGCATTCTAAAAGAAAAGTTTTTACTGTGTGACAATACTTATGACCTGACTAGGTATATAAAGAGCCACATAGCAACTGGATGCTCTGCAGAATATGGGAAATTATTTATACTCCCGCTAAATACTAGTGGCAGGGCATTATAACTAATGCATTCATATTGTGTGGTTGATATTGTGAATTACCAGCACCAGAGAACAGCCATTAAATGAATTGCGTGTCTCAATTGTACCAGGGAGGTAGATTACAGATTTTTACATTTACAAGTTTTATTATATTTTTAAATTATGGGATTAACGAAGCCAGTATTTGTGCAAAAGCCTAAATTGTTGGTTTTCGCCGCAGGTTGTTTGCTCTCAAGTCTGATACCTCCTAACCTGACTTCAACTAATATCCCTGATTTTGTTATGTCGAGCACTGTGAGGCGCGAATCTAGGGCGAGAATCATGCACCTTCCTTACCTAAATAAATATTTTTAAAGTATAATTTAGCTCATACCTTATATTGAGATTAGAAAATTACGTAGCGAGAAACTTCAATCTCGGACCCCTTCCAAAATTTAACTCTAGATCCACACCTGGCACTGTTAGGTTATAATGAGAGTGTATAATTTCTTTTTTATTGAAGAGGATGACAAACGAGCACACAGTCCACCTGATGGTAAATGGTTGCTGTGACCCATAAAGATCTACATCTATCCTCAATAAATAATCAAAATGCAAATGCGCTGTCACCCGTGAGGGCTAAAATGGAATGCCACTCTTCCAGTAAAAAGGATCTCCGGTTCTCTACACTCGCCATACGAAACACAGCAGTGTTAAGCTGCTATTTTACGCTGGTATTCTGTGAGAGCGTGGTCCTTCCCCGGTCGAGCCGACCCATTCGTGTTACAACTATACTACTAATATAGCTGTAGCATGGCTCTACCACGTAGAAAACGTTGTTTGCGCCTATACTAGATACACGAGATATTATAGAGACATTATAATACCTACAATGTGGTTTTTCGACTGCATTTTAAAGATGTCGTCATATTGGTGGCTTGTATGGTGACTTGAACAGTAGTGACTAAGCGTTTGGGTAGGGCGCTACGGTTCGCGAGTTCGAATCCCAAGAAGTGTTTGTAAGGCCTAAAAATAATTATTCCATACCTGGATGTTTGATTGTCGATTTTATAGTAAAATAACTCGACGATACAGAAGAAAATTCTAGTGTGGAGGTAACTTTTATTAATATATAATCATTGAATATCATCAGTAAATTTCACAAAAATATTTTGAAATGGGAATTAAAAAAGAATACTTATTTAATCTGGTATTTCATAAATGATATAAAAATGACGGTGTAAGCACGTTGCATAATGCAACTGTAAAGAATACGTGACATAACGCGCATCTGAGATATTAATTTTGATATTGATTTAGATTACAAATATTATCTTTTTATGATACACTAAGAGATATCTCGAGAATTTAATTAATAAAAAAATGAGCATAGGAGGTTTTTAATAAAATACAGACCCAAAAATATAAAATTTATAAATTTTTGCACAAATACTGGATCTGACTACAATACTAACTTGCTCTGAACTATCTGAACGGCGTCAGTTTTTCTAATTTGCCAATCAGGCAGGGAATGTTTTAGCATGAAGTCCACCTTTTATCCTATACATTGGGTAAAGTACAATAGAGTAAATAAATAAATAAATCAGTAAATAAAAATCTACGAGTTATGAAAATGAGTACCATGAGTATATGAAAAAATGAAAAATTTTTAGTTAATATGAAGTCTCAGGTTTAAATTAGAATTTGTTTCAAGAAAGAAGTAACGCGGGAATATGCGATCTAAAATCGAAAGTATGCGAAAGTAGCGGTATTGCGGCTAAAGGACTTCTATAATTAGTAAGACTATTCTTAAACCACAGTTTAAGTTGGAGACTATCAATATACCACGTTTTGTAATATAGAGGTTTGTGTTGAAAACTTTGATATAATTACGTAATAACGCAACGTGTATATATATCGCATTTTTGAAGCGTGTAGTGCCGACGTAAGAATATCTACTATCCCATATCATCCCCACAGGATGATATGGGATAGTGTAAGAGGCGACAGAGGGAAACTGAAACAGGAGATCAGGAGCAGCATCTTATGACAACTCAAAACAAATAATAAAAACTGTGGTTGCCAATTCACCTGCTATACGTGTTATGGCAAATATTCCACAGATGAGGCTACGGCGAGGCCTATGTTAGGCAGTGGACTTTAGGTTGTAATGAATGGTAAACCAATTTTAGCAAAAAATGTTGTCGGGTAGTAAATATAAGGTAAGTTACTTACCTCCAGTGCGCTTTCTGGCAACGCGTCTCGCATCAACTGGAAGTAAAACTCGTTCTCGGCGCGGACCTGCCGCTGCCTGCGGACACCGTACCAACACTTTACCGGAATGTCGATAGTATCGATTGTATAGACAGTATCAAACCGAAATATTAATTATTAATTGTAGATTACATTTACGTAATCAATATGATATAACAATATTAATAAATTGTATTCTTAATATAATATAATATTGTTATATCATAACAAAATATGCACTTATGTTCATGTTTAGATGTTATGCAATTTTGTATGCCTAAATAAATAAATATTAAATCATATCGCAAAAGCACATTAATGGATGCTGGAAAACTATTCACTTATTTTTAACTAGCTGTTCCCCGCGACTTCGCACGCGTTTAATTTAGGTTTTTAATTTTTTTTTGCGTGGAACCATAATTCTATTTCTTGAATAAAAGTAGCCTAAGTTACTCCTTATAACATCAGCTGTCTGCCAGTGAAAGTTCCATCAAAATCAATCCAGCCGTTTTGGAGATTAGCCGGAACAAACAGAAAACAAAAAAAAACAAAATTGTATTTTTCTTATAAGTACCGTATACACTTTCATATGCAGTATGTAAAAAGCTGTAATTTTGACATTACAAATAGACACTTAAATTTTATTTATTTGTATAGATGTGTTATAAAATAATTCACATTTATTTATATATCTAACTAATAATGTATTTTTTTATTAGCCTGCAAAAGTTCACAGCTGGATATGGGCCAGTCCTTTGGTATTTGTCTCTTAGTAGTAAGTATTTTACATCAGGTGTAAACAGAATATACCTCGGTTATAAAACCTATCGGAAGTCATAAGATTCCTACGACATTTCCTAGTTCTCTTACGATACCCACAAGACGAAATGGGGCTATCTATACCCATCAACGTCTAACCCCTCATCTTACGCCATCAACACCTGATCTTCATTTTTAATCTTTAATTCATAAATTGCCTATATATATTGTATAAAATTGTTGAGGGTTGAGGCAATAATAAGATGCAACATTTCTAATCAATCGATTGACACGACATGCTCGATATCTATATCGGTATCTGGATTTTTTAGACATTATCATAATAATAAAAAAAAACTTGTTGCGTATATACCTGCGGAGTCGAAGGCGGCGTCCGACGTAGGCCTTGACGCCGAAGCCCAGCGAGACGGCCGGGTAGCCCACGCAGTGCGCGGCCAGCGGCCGGCACAGCTCCAGCTCGCGCGCCGACCGCAGCGCGCCCTCCAGGTACACCACCGCGCAGCAGATCGCTACCGTCGGCAGGCATATGCCCTTGTCTGCGACTGCAATTACGCAAACACGCCTGTCAAACTCTTACGTCAAAATAATATTACGTACTTTTATCTTTTTATACGATTAGGCTGACTAAGATCTCACAGAATACCAGCGTAAAATAGCAGCTTAACATTGCTGTGTTTCGTATGGTGAGTGTAGAGAACCGGAGATCCTTTTTACTGGAAGAGTGGCATTCTAAGTTCACAATAAACGATCACACAGTCAACCTATTAGAATGTGAATGCTACAATCCATAGGCACCTACATTTAACATACATGTATAAAGAATTAAAATGCAGGTGAGAGACCTTTACCTAGGATTTTGTCCTGTATTTTGAAGGCAGTTTTCAAGCAAATTGCACAAGGACAAACATCCAGACCCGGAACAATTGTTTGTGGTCCATATAAATACTAGTTCCAAGCGGGATTTAAACCCGCGGAATCAGCGCTGCAACTCATTGCTAAGCCACTGTGCAACAGAGCCGTGAAACATTATGGAAGCTATATAGCGTAATACTGCTAAAAGGATTTCGCCGGCTGGCACGCACACAATACGTACATACATGCATATGCACCACTAACCCTTCCAACAAATCGGCAAATCTTAATTTAATTAACTACTTAATAACATTAGCTTTCGTCAGAACAAGTACGTTAAAATTTATTCATTACAGCAGTGGCAACACTGTTGCACATCCGGCAGCAATCTAACCCGGCTTACGTACTGTGATATTTACAGCGACGCTCAGCCTCTAAGCTACCATGGCTGTAATATGCACGGTATGAATACGTTCACTGCTGGCCATATGAGCAAGCTCAAGGTCACTCAGCGGAAGGCTATGCTCGGGGTTTCTCTGCGCGTATATTTAGAAATGAAGATAATAATGAAATGAAACGAATAATGTGTCGGCCATATAACTCGAAAAACCGACAACCGAAGGGGAAGAAAGATTCTCCAGTAGCAGCCTGGTAAGATATGCGGGAAGTCGACGGATGAAGGTGGTTCAGGAACGTGCTTTGTGACATTCATTGGTAGAGGCCTATGTTCAGCAGTGTACTTGTGAAGGGCTGTAATGTTTTAATACGTAAGTCGGTTAAATTAATAAAAACGGAGGAAGCGAAGTTATTTTTCAAACACAATAACAAGAAAGTCCCGACTCACGACTACCGATGTAAAGAAGTAACTATAGAAACACGTAATTTATTCTAGATTTTACAAAAATTCAAACCCTACAAAAGCGAAATCACGAATGTTCATAAATAAACATAAGAACGCTTCAAAGTTAAATCTTTAGCCGTATCATAATAGTTACGCAAAAATCTAGCTCAGATAACGATGCGCTTGATAAAAATAGATCTGGAATACAAACAAACAAACTGTGTTAGGAGCGCGCGATATTTTAGGAATCCGCGTAAAAGCTTACACTTGCAATTGTGGTATCGTATGATGTATGATGTAGTAAATGTCCATTCTATTCCATAAAATGATTTTATTTAATGTCATGTGTCCCCCATTAGGAACATGTAGGCAGTTGATGGAAGTAGGTTTAGTGTAGGCTCGACCAGGGTAAGGACCACGCTTTCAGAGAATACCCGAGAGAAACAATACGACTTAGGGGCCTTCAAGAAAAGAGCCTACTCCTTTTTAAAAGGCCGGCAACGCATCTGCGATTCCCCTGGTGTTGCAGTTGTTCATGGGCGGCGGTAGTCACTTACCATCAGGTGAGCCGCATGCTCGTTTGCCCCCTCTCCTATAAAAAAAAAACAGCAGAATAATGCTGCTGTATTTCGTATGGTGAGTGTAAAGCACCGGAAACCGTCCTTTTACTGGTGACGAGGCATTCTATATTAGTGCTCAGGAGTGACAAAGCATCTGCATTTTGATTTATAATCAATGATAAGGGCCGCAGCGTCCACTTACCATCAGGTGAACTTATTCTATTTTGTCGCCCTTTATCTATAAAAAAAAAAGGTGACTAGACATTATTTTGTGGTATCACTTGGGGGAGTCTACGAGGAATAATTCTGTGCTGGCTTAAACAATAAAAATCGGTCATTAGGATATTCCCTGAAACAATTTAAACATTGTCTTATCAACTATACTTTAAACTCCAATACTATCAAACTTGCAACCTGCAGGACATTACATAGTGCTAAGTACATCTGAATTAAACTTATGATGTTGTTTTATTTTTTAGGTATCTTAACTCCTAGGTCCCTAAAAATAGTAGTCAAAATACACTGCCACAGTTTAATAAGCAATACTCTTGTATTTTCAACCCTGATATTCAATTCTTATACAACCTTGTTGTGCCAATGTGATACAATTGGAGTTAAGACATGGGAACACTCACATTGTAAGATAACTTAATGTCATACTTGAATACATTATATTTTTAAATCGCATACACAGGCAAGATAGCAGTTTACATGTACAACCACTTATTGCTCCTTTATACAGTGTCAATTGGACATATAACTGACGATGTAGAATGGATGGATATGGATGCAGTTAGCTTGGACCATACTTTGTGACAAGGATGAGGTCCTTCTAAAGCTAGGGTCCCACGGCCTGCCAGGCGACAGGCCGCGCCAGGCGTTGCCCCGCCTGTATGGGCCTGTCGCGACCTGTACTGAGCGTTCCCACGGCGTTTGCCGGCCTGGTGTGGACTGTCGACTGACATTCCAATATGTGAAGTGATACGGAGCGCATGGCTGCGTGTGCGGCCGCGGTGGTTTTATTCTGTGGTGAACGTTTGATAAACCAAGCAAAAAGAAAGCAGAAAAAACGACGCTGGTGGGTGTCATCATTCAACAAAAGCCGTTCTTGTTTTTATGTTGAGGTGACGAACTATTCCAAAGCGCTGGTTCATTTTCATAAAGAGTTAAAAACTCGAATATAAGCTCGTTCGTCCATTCCATCATGAGATGTTATGAAATGTTTTAATTTCTTGGATAAAAACAAAGTACTTGAGAAAAAAAATTCAAACAAAATGACAACAAAAATACAATATTGTTTCTAGAACTACTCTTAGCTTTTGTAATACAAAATTAATCACAAATTACAGATACTATAATGAATGACTAAATAAAACAAGTTAGTTCTAAAACAACCTATTTAACAGATTTTCTGCCGACTTCCAAAAAGGAGCCGGTACTCAATTCGACTGTATGTTTTTTTTTTTTCGTTTTTTTTTTTTTTTTTTTTATGTGTGTTACCTCAGAACTTTTTTCTGGGTGAACCGATTTCGATGATTCTTTTTTTATTTGAAAGCTGGTACTTCTCGTGTGGTCCCATATGAATTTGATCAAGATCAGACCAATACTTTTTAAGTTATTCTTAAATAACTTATATTGAAGTCGGCTGTACAAAATTTTTAATTTTAAATTATTAGAATTATTAAAATTTGATTGATGGAAGTAGATTTCAATGATGGCAAATGGATGCTGTGGTCTATAAGTGTCTACATCTACCCTTGATTAAGAACCAAAATGAAGATGCATGGTCACCCCCTTGTCTTGTTTCCAGCAAAAAGGATCTCCGATTCTCTACACTCACCATATGAAACACAACATTGAGCTAATATTTAATGCTGGTATTTTGTGAGAGCATTTTCCCTCCTTGGTTAAAACAACCCATTTGGTTCATGACTCTACCACATAAAAAGGATATGATTTCAACAGTTTGTGGCATGGAGGATACACTTACAAGAATCCGCTCTTCCATCAACTCTCTATTGTAACCCTGCTGAGTTAAATAGCTTTTTTTTTTATTTATGAAATATTGTGTAGGGTATAATGGCAAATGAAGTTATTCAATTTTAGCACATAATGTTAAGATACATTGCCAGTTGCCATCCCTGAGAACTAAGCAGAAATATCTCATGATTATGCTGGCTTTTTTATCATTTAAACGGGAATACAATGGCAGAAATAGATAAAAGAGTGATACACAGACTAACTTCCAGGCAAACAACAAGCTGTACCATCTGGTAATCATTATTATATTGTTATAAATTATCAATAACCCTTATTATTTAACACTAGCTGTTCCCCGCGACTTCGCCCGTGTTTAATAAAGAGTTTTAATTATGTTGCGTGGAACCGTAATTCTTTCTCTAAAATATATGTAGCCTAAGTTACTCCTTATAACATCAGCTATCTGCCAGTGAAAGACCCGTCGAAATCGATGCAGCCGTTTCGGAGATTAGCCAGAACAAACAGACAGACAGACAAAAATATTAAAAATTGTATTTTTGTTATTAGTACTGATATACAGTTTCACATTCATATGGATTTAGTAAAATACTGTTATTTTGACATTACAAACAGACACTTCAATTTTATTTATTTGTATAGATTTCTAAACTTCAGTCCTTAGTATATAAGAAAGATTCTAAAAATTATTCAATATTAAAATACTTACATGTGTACCACACATACTGTACCCATACATAGGTACTAGCAGCAAAGAATATATACTGCAGAGGTATAAAGAAGAAACATATCATGTCTGATGTTAGTGCTATGCAGATGAAGAACATTGAGAATGCCTGAAAGAGAATAAATGATGTTGTTGTTGTCGCAAATCACATGAGCTATTGCAAAACATAGTAATTGAATCTACCTATTTACAAAATAGCGAGTAATGTGTTATTTTAACTAAGTTTTAAAAAAATTGTTAAATTTAAAAAAATAATTTCAATAAGTATTATGTAATAATCTGATTGCCTCATTGGTCTAGTGGTTGTAATTGTGCGACTGTTGATCATGAGGTCCCAGGTTCGAATTCTGGGCCAAAAAAAATCCCAGCCCAGAGTCCGGAAGTTGGAGGTAAATCACCCCCGTGCCACGTGAAGCACGTAAAGCCGTTAGTCCTACGCCTGATCTCTCTCTCGTCGTGTCGGTTTACCGCCCCATCGGACTATGACAGTGAAGGAATAGAGAGTGCACCTGTGTTCGTGCATACACTTGGGCACTATAATCCTGTCCAGCGCCAATGGCTTGTCTCTATCGAAATTCCTTCTGGAGGTCATTATATAATAATCTATATTGAATAAAAATCATTCTATTCTATTCTATTCTGAGCCTGGTGAAACTATCCATAGTTGAACAACATTAGAGACAAATCAATTAAAGACACTATATCCCATAATTGTTATAATTCACCCCTGTGCCTCGGAAAGCACCTAAAAGCCATAGGTACTGTGCCTGATCTCTCTCCATTTATATCGGATTGCCGTCCCATCGGCTTATGAGAGTTGAGTGGATAGAGAATACACCTGTGCTGGCACACACTTTAACACTATAATCCTGCACAGATGGCTAGACCCTGATGAGGCTGACCCCCGTGACCGAAATTTGGTCTAGAAGAGATTATTGTTAATATGAAAAACAAATTGTTTTCCAAGCTGAGATGTATTGTTGTTTTGTATCCTACTGTATCTAAGTACCCTTGGTGACTACTCAGGTGGCTATACAATGTACTGGTGATATTGCATAAGCATTACAATCGGGGTGACACCATGTTTACATGTACACTTGTTGCACATATATTTGACAGTAACTTGTGAACTCACATAAACATTCATCCTGGAGCACACAAAAATTTCAAACACAAAAGATTATAATCAAGAACACAATTATAACTTTACAGTTAAGTTTTATGTCCTTGTGTATTGTGGCATCAATGTTAGAAAACCTTAACATATAAAGTCTAGAAAGCTTGCATTTGTTCTATAGACTACGAGTGATGAATAAAAGATACAATTATGTAAAAAAATTAACAAAGTATAACTCACCAGTCCTTGATATTTAAAGGAGTCATAGACTGATCTCAGCATCATCCAAAATGGCCAAAGGAACTCAAATCTGAACTCTAGCATATAGTCAGCCATGACAACTGTTGCCCATAACATTACAAACTTTAGATAGAGCAAAGAACTGTAATAAAATTTGTTTATTTTAATCAAACATTCATTCAATTTGTTAAGTGGACAGTACAAATAAAATACAAAAATTCATTAGTTCTGAAAAAGTATTTTTTAATATATTTCTCAGATTTTATGCTGATAAGGTAAACACAAACAGCAATCATAATAGGCATAATATCATAAATAAACTAATTTTAATAAATACAGACTAAAGCAAAAATATTTAATATTTTCATTTGAGAACCACCTGTATTATTGCAATAAGATTTTAAAATATAATTTATTTTATGTATAACGCGCAATCAATATAAAATCTGTCCTTGAATATACGCTTATACGGAAGTAGCTAAAGATTGTTATTCATAAACAATTAAAATGAAAGGATGATGATATTTGTATGTGATACTCATGTGAGGCGCACATCTGTCTAATAAATAAACATAAGCAACACGTGTGAAATACGTTTCTTTTTTGTATTTTTATCACCTCACTACGTAGATGTACCACTGGAATCTGCAGATGGTACATTCTACCCACACATTTTCGTTTCTCCGGCACTTTAAGGTGATTTCTCTTTAACGTTCATTGTTAGCAATGATACAATTTCTTCTTATAAGGCCGGAAAGTAATTTATTTACAAGAAAACCACGTCCACTCACTTTCCATACATTCCCTCGGTGATTTTTGTGCGCTTTATAGGGCGCCGCATTTTGCCAGTATCGGCATTTCGCCTCTTCATATTTTTTCCTCCACGATGTAAATTACGAATGCAGGCTCTTGGTTCACAACACGTAATTACAAAAAAACATTTAAAACAACAGTGATCATACAGTAGTACTTTTTGTTGTCAATCGGCCTATGTATAGAACAGAATTTACGAGGGAGATGAAATATAGGCAAGCTCTTTTTCTTTTTGCGTTTTTTTTTTGTTGGAGTTTATGGCCTGGCATCTAGACCTTTGGGCCAAGTCTTGAGTATTTTTATTCGGTTTATTATAATTTCCCCACTGTATTTTTGATGAATTTATATAGAGGCACGTAATATGATCTATTTTTTAACATATCACTCAGGCGGCGGGAGGGATCTTGCACTGTCACTTGATTTTGCACTATGTCACTAATTTCACTGACAAGAATCAATCTGTCATTTGACATATTTACATGTGAGTGCTTTTCATTTGAAAAGCACTCACATGTAAATATGAAATGTTCGATATCACCAACAGAATTATTGCAGAAGGTGCAGTAACTGCTCTCCACTATGCCCAATCGAGCCAGGTGGGCCGGGACGGTGGAGTGACCAAAGCGCAGTCTATTTATAGTGGTAACAAAGTCCCGACTGGCCATTTTCAGTTTGTTATACCATGGTGCTACAGGTAGTTTTTCTTGAACAGTTCCATACCATTTACCCTTCTGTTCTTGATCTTGTTTCCAAAATTCGACCCATAAGCTATTGACCTGGTTGTCAATAGATTGATAACATTCGGTCAAAGGTACTTTTACTATGGAGCTAACATCCAACATGTTGGTTCCATCACGTGCAATTTTATCTACTATCTCATTTCCTGTTATGCCTCTATGTGATGGAATCCACATGAAAGAGACCTGTATACCCTTTTTTGCATAACTAAATAACAATTTTTTAATATTATACAAAATATAGTTTTTTTTTAAAGTCAAATCTGAGATTAGTTAAACTTTGGACCATACTTAAACTGTCTGTTAAAATTAAAAAATTATTAAAACTATTTATATGTGCAATCCTCTTCAGGGCCTCGAGGGCCGCATATACCTCTGCAGTGAAAACACTGCATTTAGGGTCCAGAAGAAAACTTTGACCAAACTTGCATTGTGGATCATAAACGGCACTGCGCACAAAGAGCTCACTTTTGCTACCATCTGTATACAAAGTATAGTAGTTATTGTCGGAAATAAAACTTAATAATTCACAATTATTAAAAAAATTTTTGGTAACAATATTGGTCTCAAATATAATACAGGAATATGGGTATGTGTAGCATGTCCACTTTGATTGTTTAATTACATTTTTAAAATCTTCATTCATTTGCTGTACAATGAGAGGCAAAACTGGAAAATAACCTTGTAAAAGCTCACCTCCCGAAGTCTGCTGGACCGAGCATTGTAAAGGAAAAGGTACTATTTTTTTGAGAACATTATCATTACCAGATACCAGCTTTAGTAAATATCTCTCTATTAGCAGAAGTCTTCTAAGACACAGTGGCATTATTTTGGTTTCAACTTCCATAGCTCGTATGGGAGTTGAACACATAGCCCCAGAAATAATTCGCAGAGCTTTGTTTTGAATTATGTCTAGTTTTTTTACACAACTACTATTTGAGTAGGCTAAACAACTGTAGTCGAAATGGCTTCTGACTATAGATTTATATAGCATACTTAAAACTTTGGGGTCTGCACCCCAAGTCACACCAGCTAAACATCTTATAATATTTAAGCCCTTAAGAGAGTTAGTTATAATGTGATTGATGTGTAAATTAAAACAAAGTTTGTTATCAATGACAACACCCAGGAATTTATGGTTAGATACAACTGAAATAGGATGATTATTGTAGAGTATGCCATTAGAGGGAAAATCTTTACTAAAAATCATGGCCTTACTTTTGTTAGGGTTAATCTGTAGAGCCAACTTGTCATTATAATATATGTACAATTGCTCTAAAGCATTATTTATACTATTTACAGCTCTATCTACATTATGGTCTGTACAATACATTACAAGATCATCCGCAAATTGTAAAATATTTACACCTTCTATATTTACAAAATTAAGAATTTGACTAGTGTATATGTGGTACAACAATGGAGATAATGTAGCCCCCTGCATTGTACCTTTGGAGACCCTTCTGGGACCATGGAGAATATTATTATGCCTTATATACAAAGTTCTATCTATTAAAAAATTAAATAACCAATGGCAAAGTATGCCTGGTATACCAATGTCAGAAAGAACTTGAACCAAAATGCCAGGATCTACATTATCAAACGCACCTTCAATATCCAGAAAAACACAAACACTGGACTTATTATTATTATTGGCATATTTCAGATCTGACAAGAGAGAGATGAAGCTGTCAGCACAACTTCTGCCTCTCCGGAAGCCATATTGAACATGTGGAATGATGTTGTTCGCCTCTACATAACACTCAAGACGCATCTTTATCATGTTTTCATTAAGCTTTCCAACACAAGATGACAAAGATATAGGACGATATGAATTAGGATCTTCAGGTGGCTTGTCAAGCTTAAGTAGAGGGATTACACACTGTGTTTTCCAAGATTCAGGAAATTTTTTTAAGTGCCAAAGAGCATTAAGATTAGCTAATAGTTTCTTTTGTACGGACTGATTTAGGTTTATGATCAAAATGTATGGACAATTATCTAAACCAGGGGTTGTGTTTCGTCTGGATTGTAAACTTGTACAAAACTCACTCCAAGTAAAGGGTTCTATGAGGAAACTGGACTTCTGAAGACTATTATTAATTTGAAAATAACTTTCTAGATTATCAATAACCCTACATCCATTTCGAGATAATTTGTCTAAAAGAGGGACTACAAATTCGTCTTTATATGTTCTATTATTGCATTTTATTCGTTTAAATAACTTGATGTATTTCCAAATAATACTAACAGGTGTAGTTCTGTTAAAAGTATTACAGATGTTAGCCCAACCATTGCGTTTATGTTCTGAAATAGTCTTTTTCTTAACAGCATTAAGTCTTTTGTAATAATGTAATTATCAATGGTTGGATCTCTTCTGTACAGTTTTAAAGCTTCATAAGTTTTAATAACACTCTGTTCACATGTGTCACTCCACCAAGGTGCTGGAGGTTTGCAACGATAGTTGTTTGCTTTGACAAACTTTGGCACAGTATCTCTCCTAAGTGTATCAAGCCTTTCAATAAATTCATCATATGACTGTAATGGATTCTCATTATTAACTTCAAAATTAGAAAAAGCAGTTATAGACAGCTCGTTGTATTTTGTCCAGTCTGTCTTGTTGTATAAGAATTTTTCAATGGGAGGATTAATTTGGTATCTATCAACTGACAATAAAACACGAGTAAGCGTAGGAAAATGATAGCTTTTTGTTTTTTTTTTTTTATAGGAGATGGGGCAAACGAGCATGCGGCTCACCTGATGGTAAGTGACTACCGCCGCCCATGAACAACCGCAACACCAGGGGAATTGCAGATGCGTTGCCGGCCTTTTAAAAAGGAGTAGGCTCTTTTCTTGAAGGTCTCTAAGTCGTATCGGTTCGGAAAAATCGCTGGTGGTAAACTATTCCATAGCTCCCCATACAATCATCATGCACCCACCATTCGCATAGTGGAGTGATTGAAGCACTACAAAAGCTGACATCAATAGCCGATGGATTTCGGTTAGGACAATTAATAGTAGTGAAGCTACCATTGTTGAGGACACATAGATCAAATTCATCAATTAAATCGTATAACTGATGACCCCGACTTTTCGTGGTCATACACCCAAATGCCACATGGTGAGCGTTGAAATCTCCAGCCACATATATTGGCTTAGGCAAATCTCTAATTATATCACGCAGTTTACTTATTCTGAAGTTACCATTCGATGGAGGGCAGTATACACATAAAATCGTTAATTGTTTACCACTTACATATAACAATAATGCCACAGTCTGAATGTCTTGGTAAAATCTGGTTTGAATAATATTATATTTAAAATACGGTTTGATCAAAATTGCTACTCCACCATGCTCATTTTGGGCATTATGATAGTGGAAATTATATCCCGAAATGTTAAAATGCTGAGTATCTTTCAGCCAAGTTTCATTGAGTAGACAGATATCAACATTTTGCTCATCTAAAAATTTAGACAATAAGGATTTTTTCCTATGTATACTTTGAATATTGTACTGAGCTATACATAACTGCTGTATGTTCTGTACTGTACTGTCCATTATTGTGACAGATTTTTTAAAAGTAAGTCTTTAATGAACAGTGTAGTCACAGGTTCATTATCTGTTTTATTACCTAATTCGACTAAAGTTTGGACCATTGCCATCAAAATATTCTTATTGTTTGCAATTTGAGCCTTAAGTTGAGTTTGGTTCAAGTTGGGTTCAGGCACTGTTTTATTTACATTATTTACAATTTTTACATTTTTATTTAATTTATGTACATTTTGGTTTATTGATGGTAGAGTCTTAACAATGCTGCTCGACTGTGCAGGTAAAGACGGAAAATCAGATGACTTAGTTGTATTAGCTACAGAGGCATAAGTAATTTTACCCTTTTTTTCAAGTATTTTTTTCATTTTTATTGGGCAAGATTTGGAAATGGCCAGGTGGGGACCACTGCAATTGACACAACACAGGTTTTCTTTTTTATCACAGTCTCTGAAATTATGTTCCCCAGCACATATCGAGCAACGTTGTTTACCATTACAAATTTTCGCAGGGTGGTTGAACTTGAAGCACCGGAAGCATTGTTGTAACGGTGGGACATATTCAAACACCCTGAACGAAAATAGGTCATATTGGATGTTGTCGGGCAGAACATTTGATAGGAAAGTTATACTGACCGTCTCGAGACCTGCAGTACTTTGACCGACTTTTTTCGTGAATCTTCTCACTGAAATAATTTCATAAATCGAAGACAGTTTCGTATATAATTCCTTGTTCGAAATGTTGGTAGGCACATATCGGATGATTCCAGTTTTTTCTATCTGCGCTGCAGGAATATGCGCCTTCAAGTTGTGCTTTGTTAAAAAGTCTGTATTTGTGATGAAATTATTTGCAGTGTTGTATTGTTTAAAAACAACCGCAATTTTGTTGGCATTGACTCTAAG